TGACCTTTATTTTTACAATCCTCCTCAACATTTCAAGGTTAGGATATGCTGGGTTTGCAATCTCTGCGACATTTGCTTGAATGGCAAGTACTTGCGAAGTACTTGACTAGAATATTATTGAGTTTAAATATAAAATTGGTTTAGCTTCAGGCGATGGAGTAAAGGTTATGCGAAATTGTTTAACTTGAGTCTTGATTAGTGCAGTGGATATGGAGTTGGGTAAAATATTGTGCTGTTTAAAGATATTAATAGACTTAAGACTAGATGCCCCAGGTCCTAAGACTTGAGAGGTCAGAGACAGGCCCAAATGTTTTGAAGATTACCCTATTGAAACGCCATAACTAAATAATAATTTCAACTACTCTTTTAATTTTTTTTTTAATCGTACGTGTTACCCTATGTTAAGATGTTCACGTGGAGCTATCTCAAGAGTTTATGGATCTTCTGAAAAAAAAAGAATTATAAAGTATTTACAGAAGTATTTATTTCGTATCCGATAATAATCAAACCTTCACATCAATATTGTACCTAAAACCCACTTAATAAAACTGCAAAGAAAATAACAAAGAATATCATAAACTACACTAGCGCCACTCGCGACACAAAAACCCTCATTAAAGAGATAATAACATTGCTTTAGTCAAGGCAAAATAGCTCTTAAGTACCGACTATTAAATAGTCACGATTTGGTCTGACATCTGTCTGTCGTTTAGGTCACGATTCCGATGCGGTGATGTAGTAATGAGATAGGATTGTATAGAGTTAGATAATTGTTTTGACATTGAAGTCTAAGAGTTTAGTCTTTAAAAATGGAAGACCTAACCTATAGATATACGGTTTCCTTCCTTTAGTAAATTATTAATGTTTAGTTTTTTTTTATGGGATAAGGCGGTAAACGAGCAGGCGGACCATCTCATGGTAAGTAATCGGCGCCGCCCATGGACACCTGAGGCATTACAAGTACGTCGCCGGCCTTTGGGGGATTAGGAATTTGAGGATTGATGAGATTGGGGAGTGGGGTAATTGGGCCTCCGGTAACCTCACTCACAAGACGAAACTTAACACAAGTGTTGTTTCACGTCGGTTTTCTGCTCGGCCGTGGTATCACTCCGGTCGAGCCGGCCGTTTCGTGCTGAAGCATGGCTCTCCTGTACTAATGTTTAGTGCTTGTAAGAGTTACATAGGTCTAAATGTTAACATGAATGGATTAAATGAAATTGATATGGAAGTCGCAGAGAAGCTGACAGACTTCGACCATTATTTGTGTTTTTAGAATCACTATCGTGAGACATACTAAATTAGCTAAAAATCGCGGGATACTCATGAGAATATACTGCGAAAAGCTCTACTAGTTTCGAGCTACAGAGGGGCAGCTTACTGATGCGGCGATGTCGCGCAGCCTACTGATGCGGCGATGTCGCGCAGCCTACTGATGCGGTGATGTCGCGCAGCCAAACTTCACTGCTTTAGATGTTTGAACTGTACGACAGTAGCAAATATAATTACATGTCCCGAGGGTTGAATATAAAACCTCGACGTTGGCAGATGCACATGTAATTAATAATTCGAATGCAAATGTTTTATGAAAATTTTAATCTTAAACGGTGCAATAAATAGTTCAAATTGATAACCTTTTGAACTTTCATTGAACATTATAATTATAAATATAGTTTATGCATAATATACACAAACATAAGTACATAAAAAAAACATAAATTATTACATTTTGTAATAATTATAACAGGTGTTTCAATTACGAAATATTATATATGAATTAATTTAATACTTTTTGTTAATAAATAAATCGATTCTAGGACGAATCGATTAAAATTATTGAAATCGATGTGATCGAGTATAAATAATGTTTTTTTTTTTAATTATATATGTAGCCTTATTGGGTATCCTAGGCTGCTGTTTGAGATCTTTGTAAACACTAACATAGATAATGATATAAGGTTATAAGGCCAAGGCTAATTTATTATTTTTTATTTACACAATTAAATTAACATAACTCCTAAGCAAATGACAAATAACGATATCCGCTGCTTGGCTGAAAGTGGTTGAATGCGATGAGTATAAGTTTTTTACGGTATAAGCCGGTAACCAAGCAAACGGATCACCTGATGGTAAGCAATCGGCGCCACCCATGGATACCTGAAACACTAAGGTGTTACAAGTACGTTACCGGCCTTTTGGGAATTGGGAATTTGAGGATTGTGGAGGATTCGGGGATTTGGGACACTGGGGAGGGAGGGGGAGGGGGTAATTGGCCATCGATACCGTCAATCACAATTTCCACGAAGGTAGATCTATAGTTCAATTTATGTCTTGTAGTAGTAGACGAATATGGATTGATCCGCACTTGCAACAATAACTGTGATACTTCATTTTACATAAGTGAATATTTTTGATACTTAATATGTTAATTTTATGTTATTTTTTGCCGCCCCGGATCCATTGTTATATGTGTGTGAAGTATTTTAATAGGATTTGAATCTAAGATCTTATGTTCGGATGGAAAAGTGCAGTGCTCGATGACCAAGTCAAACTAAAATTGTTGGGAAAATAATAACGGTTCCGAAAAACAAATTAATCACCAGCGATCTGTGGCCGACTATAAAAATAGATCTTCGAATAACAAAACTAAACTTCCGAATAGAATATTGAACCTCCGACAAAATTACTAAGTTACCGACAACAGACGTTTTAGATTAGGTTAGTATTGTAGCAATAAACAGTCATGTAAAGTAGTCGGAAAGTTAGTATTTTAGGCAGTAGATTTAATATTTTCAGTAAGGACAATTCTTCTGTTCTTGTCGGAGCATTTATTACTACCCAAATGGTTTTAAACAAGACAATATCACCCTACCTTCATTTGATTCATGTCCTTGAAAATAAACGCAGAAATGATTATTTTAAACCTAAACTTTTTAAGACTAATTTAAAGATAAGATCGACTAGGTAATGACTTTTTAAATGCCCTTGGGGAGGTCAAAAGCTTGTTACATCATCATCATTGTTCAAATACAATGTCAAGAAATAAAATTAATAAAAATACAGTCTGTAATTACTCATTTCTCATTGTCACGAGGTATTATTTTGTTATATAATCATTATGTAAATTACATAACATCACGCCTTTTACCCCCGAAGGGGTAAGCAGAGGTGCACATTACGGCACTTAATGCCAGTGTACAATGTAACACGCACTTTTCACTATTTATGTTATGAGTCCCATGTAATAGGGGGAAAGCCCATTGTGTAATATACCGGCCACATTTTCAGAATGCTACTACTGAGAATTTAAAATAATCCATGTATACTTTCCCAACTCGGGAATCGAACTCGAGGTCCTATGCCCGGCAGTCGCACTTGCGACCACTCACCCAACGAGGCATAGGTGATATCAGGCTTGTACTCTTGGTTTAGCCGATTTAAAAAATATACACCTCTTTTTTCCTCGTCTTTCACACTCATTTGATTTTTTTTTTATTACTATCGGTAGAGAGAAAGCTTACACCACGCCTAATGATAAGTGTTCAGGACGTCGCGCGTCGCGGAGAACCTAACGAGTAACCGGGGCTCCGGCTCGACGTGCAGGAGAAGGAACGGGGTGGTTTTAAGTCAGTAAGAGTCTGACACTCCCTTCCGCCTCACTCAGGCGGGAGCAGTCATTCGATGATTTTCCCCCCTTAAAAAAAAAAGTGTTCAGGATTGCAACGTCGCCTAAGTGGATGAACAGTTGCATCACGACACATTGCCAATCTATCAGTGCAGTGGACGGAAATATAATATTGATGGTGATTATGAAGTGTACAAAAATAATCATGACTTAACCATTTCAAATAACCGATTGAGACAATAAAATTAATCGCTGTATCGAAACAATACAACAAAACTAAAAGAAAAAAAAACAAGCAATAAATAAAAAAAAAAACATTTAATAACTTAATGATAGGTACACACTAAACATTTATAATTAAATTAAAAATAATTATTCACAGTAATTATGCGTATAGTTACATGGCAATTAAATTATGGTGTTTTTAAGTCATGGTTAAAATGTTAAAAACAAATTTTGTTTATTATTCATAGCTACTACGACGCCTAAAATGATTATTTTAATCCGGCCGCTAGTTTCAGAGATTATCGCTGTTCAACTAACACTTCAGCTTTATGTATTTAAAACAAGTAAAATATATATTAACTAGCGACCCGCCCCGGCTTCGCAAGGGTGCAATATGCATGTATTATACACTTAAACTTTCCTTAAGAATCACTCTATGGATTAAAAAACCGCATCAACATCCGTTGCGTAGTTTTAAACATCTAAGCATACATAGGGGCCGCCAAGAACCGAACGAGTTACCGGGGCTCCGTCTCGAAGTGCAAGAGTAGTAACGGGGTGGTTTTTAGTCAGTAAGAGTCTGACACTCCCACCCGTCTCACCCAGGCGGGAGCAGTCATTCGATGATTTTTCCCTCTTAAAAAAGCATACATAGGGACAGATAGACGGCGGATAGCGACTTTGTTTTATACTATGTAGTGAATATTTATAATTATGCAAGAAACTAATTCTAATTCATGTTATTTTCATATTTTTCTAATTAATATTTATTCACAATATTTACAAATAACAGTAGCATCGGAATTATTATTGAATAACTAATTGATTAGGCAACCTTGACATTAACCATTTTTGGAACATGGTGCGTTATAGTCAGCAATATTTTTTTAGATGAAGTAACAGTACATTTTAAAGGCGGCATAAAATAAGATATAGATATGAGACTTGTATTCAAAAATTATTTCGATATTGTTGCATTAATACAAAATATGCATGCATGAGGGTGCGGTTTCGCAACCTACCAACAGCAAGTACCAATGTGACTATTTCCGAGTTATATGTACTTTCTAAGATTAATTAGGGACCACTGACAAATGGTGAATGAAACCATCGTGAGGAAACCTGGACTTATAATGTCTTATTATAGGTTTGAAATCGCCAACCCGCATTTAGCAAGTGTGGCAATTAATGCTCAAACCTTCTCCATGTAAGAAGAGCCATTTGGTCAGCAGTTACTTACTACAAGAATATTTTGCCTTATCTATTTTGTTTTATATTTGCTACATAATTTGGTAACTCTATTAATATTCCCACTTCAAATGGATAAAAACATCCTCGAGAAACAATTACATATTGTCTTGTACTGTTTTCATATTTTTTTTTACAGTTATCTGGAGTATAAAAAATATGGTCCTCTGACTTTGTAGGCAGTTGGGAAATGCCGGCCTCGTTTAGAATAAACATATTATTAACTTGACGTGTTAAAGTGCTGTCTTGTAACATATTTAAATAATAAATTCATTTCATTTCATTACTTACTTACATATAGTTTAACTGATCGACTAAGCATGTTATGACGTAGGTACGTCGATCGAGGTTAAAAACATAATTACTATATGAAACTGTTAAATGTCCAATTTGTCCTAAAATACATAAATATTCATTAATCTCAATGAAGATGCCGTTATTCACTTGTTGAATTTTATCTGTGACTAATTTATCATTCTTATTGCATTATTGACAGCTTACATATGCGCCTGTCTGCACATCATTATAATATCTTCCTTCAATAACGACAGCAATAAAAAGAAAAAGATATTTAAAACACATTTTGGTTGAATCGCCTTCAGATTCTTTACGAAAATGTCTGGTAGTTTGAACCCCATGATTTTTTTGAACTACGAAAACAATTTGTCACTATTTTAATCACTTTTTTTTCTTTCACACAACAATGGGTTCTCCATACACACCGGCAAAAAGAATAACATTACAACTCCTCTGCTTGATTAGGAATATGAACTCTTTATTTGCTTCGAACCTCTGTCCTAGGATCCGGTCTTCTAGACCTACTACAGTTGCTGCAGCAGCTACCGTACCTTCTTCATTAACTTCCACTTCTACATTCTGTATAGAAGATGTAACATATAGAGGGTTGTCAGCAATTCCAGGGAGCTTCGCTTTCGTTCTGTCAAAGATTGAAGTAATCCCCGAATACATAAGAGGCGGTATCAAATCCTGTCTTGAAGATATTCTGAATCTTGGAATGTAAGTATCTATAGCCGGTAAACCTCCTTCAGATTTGAAATCCGTCATCCAGTTCTGAGATTTCGTTGCTAAATTATGTAGCACAGTTTTAACTGAAATTCCATCGTATGGCAAGATGATCAGCATTGAGAATTCCTCGTTCTTTCCATAAGTCATTTCTAGAACTTGAGCACTGATTTCATCTGCGTCTCCAACGTTATGAGGGGCCTTATGGTACATCATGTTTACAGATCCTATTGTCTTGCCTTGTGTGTTGTAGAAAGATTCCACTTTCGTTTGAGTAGGATCGAAAGGATGAGTCCAGTTTGCTTTGAAGTACAAAGCGTCAATCAATACCATACGCAAGTTATCAAGGTCTTGAGGTTTCACAGCATTGAGGATTCTCCCATCAGTAGCATAGCAGATGAACACATTAATATCATGAGCGAGTTCAGTTGTATTCTTCGTTTCAGCTGAGTAAATCGATGTCTCGTAACGCAACGCAGACTGACAGAACTCATCGTGCACTTTAGTGGAACACTCAGTAAACATAGCTGACTGTCCTTTCACTATGATGTCCTGGTACTGGGACTTCAACACATCGGTCGCAGCTGAATGCAAACACTGAGTTTTACTTAAATCCGTTGGTAATCTCAACGCACTCACTAATTCGGAAAACGTTTCACCGGACGATCCTTCGGCTAATAACGCGAATAAACTCCATACTGATAACGGTGATAGTGCAATGTTTTTCGTGCCAAAATTTTCTTGGAAGGCGTAAGTATTGTCTAGTAGTTGGAAGGTGAATTCGTTGACGGGAGTAAAGTCGATGGAAGACGCGGACCGCGCGGCCGCGACGCCGATGAAGGTTGCTAAGACCCACGGCACAAACATCGTTCCGCGATCTTTTAGCGCACACTGGGCTCAGTTCTCACGTGCGGCGTGCACAATGAATATAATTTAACTGGTTAGGTAACGTTTGTGTACCTCTATGTATAGAGTATGAGACGTTCGGAGGGATGCTCTGCAGACTGGCGTTACGCGTTTCAAGTGCAAATTAGTGGGCAGTGACCATGAAAATATTTATAGGTAACGATCGTTTTAAAATGCGGTAGTTGTTAGTTTGTCAATTTTTTACTTTTTATGTAGGTAATAAAATTATGACTGGTGGTACTGGAGGTAATGGGTTGTTTAAATGGGTGCATTCATTGTACGAACTGACATTATGTACAATTAAAAATGTATCACAAATGTAATTCTTTTATGTTTCGTGCGTTGTGATTGAGAAGGAATTGGGAGAGAAGGATCCATGGAACCATACAATTAGTAGAGAAAATGCATGTTTTTTATAGGCATACTGATTAGCAGGAATAATTTAAACAGTTTAACATAATTATCATTGTTTATGTATTACTTGTTACGATCCCTACCCTTCCTATAGGTGTCATAGGACCCAACTATATATATGCGACTGCCGGGCAAAGGGGTCTCAGGTTCGATTCCCGGGTCGCGTAAAGTACTACTGGTTTTTTTTTAAATCTCTATAGTAGCAAGGAGTCTGGAAATGCGCCCGGTATATGGCAATAGGCTCACCCTATTACATGGGACTCATAACATAAGTAGTGAAAAGTGGGTGTTGCATTGTATAGTGCTGTAATGTGCACCTCTGCCTACTCCTTCGGGGATAAAAGGTAATGTTTTGTTATGTAATATTATATTCTGTGTTGCAAGAACTGTATGTATTACACGTATAATTAATGAATAAAAATCGTACATTTTTTGTGTAATTTTACGTCAAATTATAAGCAAGTCATGATGATGTTTACTTTAATATTTGGTTTACTAATTGTGGCTTGATTGATCTCGATTTCATTAATGCTTGACTTTGGAGCAAATATTTGTAAATCTCTATATGCTTCATTTAGGATTCACGTATTTGCTAATAATTTAATTTTGTTTATTTAACAAATTATTACCTAACTAGCTTTTAACAGCGGCTTCGCTCGCGTCACAAAAGGATAAAAAACCAATGTGGCATACCAATACACACAGCGCCATCTATACCAATACTTTTGTTTTCCCTCGGGAATATCAATTTTTTCCGGGATAAAAAGTACCCTATTATTTAATCCAGACTTCTAACTATACATCTGCAAAAATTCAAAGCAATCGGTTTAGTAGTTACGGCGTGAAAGTGGAACAAACAAACAAACTCACTTTCCGATTTATAATATTAGTAAGGATGAATGAGTAAGGTCTTTGATATAACGACACGACTGGTTAATCCCCGGAGAAGTATGCAGAGTTGCATATTTCAGTGGATTGCGCGTGCCTCAAAGAGCCATCTTACCACGGACGGGGCCCAATAGGGCAGCTGATGTCGATACGGAGCACGTAAAAGGTTACCGGGGCTCCGGCTCGAAGTGCAGGAGTAGGAACGATGTGGTTCTTAGTCAGTAAGAGTCTGACACTCCCTCCCACCTCACCCAGGCGGGGGAAGTCAAGAAGTCACAGGATGATTTACCTCCCCTTAAAGAAAAAAGATAATTGGTTTAAAGTTAAAAAAATAGATTATGTCGCTTTCCCTTTATGGGACTCTTATGGGACTTTTATGGGACTCTTATGGGACTCTTATGGACCACTTATGGGACTCATATCGAAGTTGTGAATAATGGGTAGCCTATTCGCGTCCACTCTACTGAACTTCGCTAGCTCGCGTCCATTTTCCGGATCGCCATCAATGTAAGATACTTAAGACGTGAAAAAGTCAAATAGTCGTGTACTAAATACTACTTATATTGTGATAGTTTTCTTATGTTCGGGAATTTTGAATAGGTGTTCAATAGCATGGACGCGCATTGGGAGGTGGACGCGAACAGGCGAACTTATTAGGAACCTATTTTTAAAGTCTGGGGTGTCAAACGTGTAGACATAGATATCGTCTAATAGTAAGCAATCGGTGTCATCTATGGCTACCTATAGTTCTAGAGGACCTAACCTAACCTCTTAAGCCTTTAAGGAATTGTGGCTATGGTAAAATGTTCACGCCACAGGCCGGTAATATGTACACTTCTGCCGAACCTGTCGGTAAATAAAAGGCGTGATAGTATATTGAATGTATGACAAATCAGGTCAACAATGTTGACTTAATGCTGGTATTTTTTTTTAAGCATATGGAATAGCGATTGATAAGGCTGCTATGGCCTCGCGAGGAAGCGATAATTCCGATGACAAATATTTTGAGTGTGGATTTTTGCAATGATCGATAGTTTATTTACCTATCGTAGGACAGGTTATAGATTCTATCTGAAATAATTATACACATGTAGAAAAGTTTTCTATGAGGACGTGGTATCACTCCGGCCCATTTGTGCCAAAGCATTTTTTTTAAGGTGGGAAAATCATCGAATGACTGTTTCCTCTTACTGACTAAAAACCACCCCGTTCCTTCTCCTGCACGTCGAGCCGGAGCCTCGGTAACCCGTTAGGATCTCGGCGACTCCGAATCGGCATCAGCCCTGTTGGGCCCCATCCGTGGTGGTCTGATGGCTCTTTGAGGCGCGCGTGGTACGCGACGCGCCATACGCTCGGGTCTGTTTCTGGTCGGACGGGGAGTCAGCCATGCTCGCCATCCGCATCCGCCATCCGCTTACGGTGACCGGATATGGCTCTCCCACACTGAAATGTAGCCATGGCCGGCGCCGATTGCTTACCATCAAGAGATCCGTCTGCTCTGCGGTCTGCTCATTTGCCGCGTTATACCTTAAAAACCATGTATTATAAAAAAACATCCTTATAAATGGGAAAGTGAGTTTGTTTGTTCGTTTGTTTGTTCCGCTTTCACGCCGTAACTTCTAAACCGATTGCTTTGAATTTTTGCAGGCGTAAAGTTAGAAGTCCGGAACAAATAATAGGGTACTTTTTATCCCAGAAAATTTTAATATTCCCGAGGGAAAACAAAAGAATTGGTATAGATGGCGCTGTGTGTATTGGTATATGTCACATAGGCTATTTTTATCCTTTTGTGACGCGAGCGAAGCCGCGCGTAAAAGCTAGTGTATTATATATAAATGACGAAATGTTACATTGATTTGTCTGGAATAAAAAGGGTACAAATAACACTAAAGCGGATCTTAAGTTTTTGTTTTTATACGAAAAATTATAAACAATTAAATAAGTTAAACAACGTATCGACATTTTCTGTTTTTGCGTTTATTATAAAGTTCGATTAAGTTTTTATAAAATTGTGGAATCGTGCGCCTACAATCAAAGGTGGAGCAAAAAATATGGTTCTACGACACGTTTTGTTTATTTATTGATTTATAAATATGAAATATGTTCCGTATGTGTTATTTTTGAACTGATGAACTTTATGTCTACATGTCATTACCCGTCTTATGGAAGTGTGGGAGAGCCATGCTTCGGCACGAATGGGCCGGCTCGACCGGAGTGATACCACGGCCTCACAGAACACCGACGTGAAGCAACGCTTGCGTTGTGTTTCTTCGTGTGAGTGAGGTTACCGGAGGCCCAATTACTCTCCCCTTCCTCAATCTTCCCAATTCCTGAATCCCCAACGATCCTCAAACTCCTAATCCCCAAAAGGCCGGTAACGCACTTGTAACGCCTCTGGTGTTCCAGGTGTCCATGGGCGATGCCGATTGCTTACCATTCGTTCTCCGTGTGAGAAGAAGCTTTTCATCAGCAGTGGGATTATTTCAGGCAGTTGATGGTGACGTTCATACGAACATTATTGTCATTTGATTTCATTATCATCTAGGGATCTGCTAGAACTTGAATGGACTTCCTCAAATGCCGGCAACGAAATATTAACTTCTATAGTAATACAGGCTTCTATGGGCGGCACTGATTGCTTACCATCAGGACCAGGTGATCTGTCTGGTCATTTGACCATTATCCCAAAAACAAACTAATTATAATCACTTTAAAAGTAAAAAAGATTTTTGAATGCGCTTCATCTAGATAGAATCTAGATTCTATAGGTCTAGACCTATACACATCCCGAGCGTACGGCGCGTCGCGTACCGCGCGCGCCTCAAAGAGCATCAGACCACCACAGATGGGGCCCAATGCGGCCGATGCCGATTCGGAGTCGCGGAGAACCTAACGGGTAACCGGGGCTCCGGCTCGACGTGCAGGAGAAGGAACGGGGTGGTTTTTAGTCGGTAAGAGTCTGACACTCCCTCCCGCCTCACCCAGGCGGGAGCAGCCATTCGATGATTTTTCCCCCTTAAAAAAAAGACCTATACACATTTTATAATGAACATAACATAACATCACACTTTTTATCACCGAAGGGGTAGGCAGACATGCACTACGGCACTTAATGCCACTGCACAATGTAAAAACCACTTTTCACTATTTTATGTTATGTATATGGCAATAGGCCCTATACATGGGGTATAGGGCCTATTGCTACATACCGGGTACAATTTTATAACGACTAAGATTAATTAGGCAAATAAATAAATTACAGTATTTCTAAAATATTATTCCTCTGTTACAAGGTACCCCACTCGATTACTACATTAGCAAAAAGATGCCGAATCGATGAATCAGCACCATTTTTAGTCATTCGTTAAATACATTGATATTTTTATAATGTCTTTATGAATATTTAGTATTATTAATTTATGTTTTAAAATAATGGTTGGAAAATATATTATTGGGATTTCCGATTTTCTTAGAAAAAATACGGAATTCTGTAAAATTTTCTTTTGTTTTGACTTGAGTCCTATTTTCTATTGGCATACATCCAAAACACTGCTCTGACTGACACTCACTAACACTGACTGCCTCGTTGGCCGAGTGGTCGCAAGTGCGACTGCCGGGCAAGGGGTCTTTTTTTTTAAGGGGGGAAAATCATCGAATGACTGCTCCCGCCCGGGTGAGGCGGGAGGGAGTGTCAGACTCTTACTGACTAAAAACCACCCCGTTCCTTCTCCTGCACGTCGAGCCGGAGCCCCGGTTACCCGTTAGGTTCTCCGCGACAGGGTTC